TAAAGATCGTGCACTGAAACTGTTCAATATAATTGACAATCACAATAATCCAACACTCAGCAACCTAAAAATACAGCGAAATCTGATAAACACAGGCAGATACAAAGACATAAGATCCATCATATTATAAAGCCCCGTTTCAGTTATTCTTAGTGTGACTTAAAACTGTCCACATATATAATAGAATTAAGGTGATGAATTACCAACTCAGACATCTGCATATCAACATCAACAAGTAGTTAGAGTAGAGTAGGAGTTGAAGTTAGAGTAGTTAGAGTTACAGTTAGGAAATTGACAATTGTTGTATGATTCTCTGTATAACTTGCCTTTTAGAGCGTAAAATTGCTGTGATAACATAAATAATTGAATATAAATTAAACTTAAGAATTTTTGGTTCTAGTAGTTTTTTTAATATTTATCATAAAACAAATCAATTATATAAAAACAAATTTATTTTCTCTATTTTAAGTTTAATTTTTTGCTGATTTTATTTGTAAAAGAAATGGGTATGAAATTATTACAATAAATTTATTTTAATTTCAATGAAACTTCACTTAGATGCAATTTTCATAAATGAAACGAAACAGTAGCAGACTAAGTATTTGCATACTTGTTTTTTCATCAAACTAATTATCTGCAGTTTGCAAGTGTTTTTAGGAAACTAATTATTTAATGTGAAATATTTTTAGATGTCAGTTTATTACAAGTATTATATATCTTACAATTAGAATTTGCGTTATCTCTAGCATATAACATTGATAGAAAACATGAATATATACCGATCATTAGTTGATAAGTTAAAATGTTTATTGTAAAACAATATTTAATCTTTTCAAAACATTGAAAATGAAACCTTATTTTTTCTTACCTGGACTCTGCACCAAGAATATCAGTCTTCAATGTCATGTGGTTTCATAAGGTCATGTAAGCAATGATAACTTCAGACGGCGCTAGTCGTTTTTTAATGATGAAAGAGTAAAATTGGATATAAAATAGCTAACATCGTTTTGCTTTCAGATGAATGTGTGGACTTTATAATATATATCTTACAATTCGAATTTGCGTTATCTCTAGCATATAACATTGGTAGAAAACTTAAATGTTAAGACATGAATATATACCGATCATTAGTTGATAAGTTAAAATGTTTATTGTAAAATAACATTTAATCTTTTCAAAACATTGAAAATGAAACCTTATTTTTTCTCAGTAGAACTAAGTCAAAATAACTCATAATAAGTTTTACCTGGACTCTGTCTCAAGAATATCAGTCTTCAATCTCATGTGGTTTAATAAGGTCATGTAAGTAACGATAACTTCAAACGGCGCTAGTCGTTTTTTAATGACGAAAGAGTAAAATTGGATTTAAGATAGCTAACATCGTTTCGCTTTTAGATGAATGTGTGGACTTTATTTTATATAAATATTTAGCTATCCCACTGTTGCTAGCAAAGTGAGAAATACATTAACTCAAAATTAATCAAAAGTAGCAATGCTTTGATAATTCGAGCGCTATTCAAACATATTCGAGCGTAATTAGATTTTAATCGTGCGATATGTAAATATGGATGAAACACGGTTCTAAAAATAAAGTAGCAGTCAGTTGAGTGAATAGCAACTGGCAAAAACCAATCAAAGCAACCAAACAATAGTCGGCTAGAAAGTTTTTCGCATCTGCGTGTTATTTATACAAATATGTAATATTTATCTATTATCGTAAATAGTTAAAAAGCATCAATAGCGGGTATTGTATATCATTATTGGTGGCTTTGAAGGATGAAATCGTTAGTCAATATGTAGGAATGAAGATAATGAAAGTTAAAAACGATGGCTAAATTATAAGATTTGCAATTAGAGTTCTTTAGATGGAAGTGAAATAAACAAAAAAAAAGGCCTAGATAAATAGATGTATAAGAAAATTATAAGAATGTTAGAAAAATCTCTGAATGACTGCTTTACAATTGAATAAGAAATTATTCATAAATAAATCTAATATTTTTTTTCAAAATAATCTCTTATTATATAGCGCACCTATTTTTTGCTAATATAGAAGGTTGTATTCTGCCAACTTGTTATAAAGCATTTTTACAAAAATGAAAACCATTAACATACGTTATTAATTTTTATTATACTATTTACAAAATCCTTGTCCTCAAAATACTACAAAATCAGTGCTTAACTTAAGTTTCTTCAGGAACATGACAATTACGAGTATCTTAGAACCTTCATCGCTTTCTATCTAATGTTAAAGGTAGGAGGTTAATAATGGATTTTAAGTTCTCAATGAAACTTTATCACTATGTTATTTATCGAATTAATCTGATGCTACTTATTTGCTTCTACTTCTGAATTAGTTGTATTATAAGCAATTTGTTGATCTATTGTAAAAATCGAAGACAATGTATTGGATTATTTGTGCTGAAGTACGAACTAAATTTTAATTCCTTGACTTAACAATAAAAGAAATCTTATATCAACTGATACCAACATTGCGAAATTGCATTGCATTTCTTTATGTGTGTGTCAAAATCCCTTCTTCTGCGTTCTATCGCTTACATTTATTACGTTTGTTACAATAACTAATACAGCCTTAAGACTTAGACAATACTTACCCGAATCATCCGCCATAAGTCTTTATGGCCAACTTAACCTAATTACTATATTCTTAGGAAAGCATCTGTTAGTAAAAGTTTGTAGTTTTTGTTTCGTGCTATAATATACAAGCAAAGTTTAACATCTATACAAAAAAATCCGATTTTATATTTTTGTTGTAACTACCATACATGAATCTTCATTGGTGGTGACAATGTGCTAGATCTCTATAGATTTGGTTTGGAGCATAAACTACTCCTCTAAATTATTCGAACATTAGGTTGTTTAAAAAGTTTAAGTATACTCGCATTCAGACATTTAGATCGAACATTTCAAATATTAGACAATGGAGCTTCTCAAAGTATGCGAATAGTATATCTGTGTTATGCTTTATTTTTTTTCGGTTTTATTTCATACATGTTAAAAAAACTTATATCATCCACGCTTTCTACTTTTTTATAAACGTTTGAATTTTCCCTCTGCATTATTCGCCATAAACCTTTATTGGCAACCCATCCTATTTATTATATTCGAGTGGCTCGCTATGTTTGATCCAAATGCTCGAGCACAAACAAACGCAAACACTGAAATGCTTGATGCTATAAAAAAATCAAATAATATTTGAAGTACTGGTATAAACACAATCCTAATTTGATATATTTTCAAATACATTGTGATATATCATCGTTTCTAATTATATACCAAAAAATTTTCTGAATTTTTGTATTTTCTTCATTTATTTATTTCAGATTTTTAAGAGAATCTGAAAACAAACAGAGTCTGTCTGTTGTATTATTAACTTTCGATGGTTTCATTGCATATTTTGATTAATTTTGATTTTTGGTTAAAGTCGGTTTGCTAACGTCCCTAACGTTATTAGGTCGTAAACTTGTTCCACTATTATCTGTAAATAATGTCTAGATATTTATTTATATTATTTTAAAGCGAAATCAAAATATTAAAATAATTTAAAAAATTAAAACTTGCTTGTTACTTGTATAGCTACTTAAACTAAAAAGATATATAAAAAATAATAATATATAGAAATAATAGCTGAATATATTTTTTTAGATACAATTATATATACAATTGATGTTTAAAAGTATCACTGTAAAGAAAGTGCTTCAAAACATTAATTTACAATAAGAAAATAACATCTAATTTTCACTATGTCAAAGTTTCCTTTGTGTTCGGAATTTAAAGATTTTTATATCTATTTATATCAAGTATATGCTAAACCTTGCGCCAATGAGACTAAATTTTCTATCCAAATGTCAAGCTGTTAGATTTATTAAATACTTAAAATTTTACTGACTCTCAGAATGCTTACAAAGCAAGGTGCATAATGTGTACTTCGTCACAAATACAGTGCTGTACATTAAAATACGGACGACTGTTATTTAGAAAATATTGATAGAAGTATAGAATTTACGGTAGAGAGAGAGAGTTCTTTTTATTTTGAACGTAACCTTCTGGAATATAAATAATTAAAGAGCATTTTATAAAATATCCCTTTATAAAATAAATAAATTAAATAATATCGTATATATAATATCTCCCATAAAATACTATATCTATATGTTTATTCGACTATGTATTCTATTATATATAAAAAGAAATATTAAGACAGTCTCATAAATAAATGGATTTTATTTTTAATTTCAGATCATCATGTGCATTTCGACACAGCTAGTCTCAAAGACGAGTTCGAAACTGATCCAAGCTCTGTTACATACCAGCGTTCCGGTGACACTATTGTTGTCAGTTTGGGTTTCCTACAAGTCAATCATCGTTATTTAATTGATCTTAAGCTACCGATCTCGCTGTTTGGCAATATAAGCGACGAGGGCAAAAGTCAATTTGAACCTGATGTGACGACAGTTCCTAATTTACATTGCCGCATTACAGAATTCTCCGGTGTTAAACACGATACTCATGATTTCTATGAAATGAAATTAGAATTTTTCGCTTATAAAGAAAAACTCCTTCGTGAAACATTACATATTGTCAACTCGAAAAATTCTAAAGAAGTCCTAACGCTGGTTATAAGTGCACGAGTATTGGGTAAGGGCAAAGGTACTCCGATGTTGCGAAATGGTATACACTGCATAGGTATGGAAGCAGATGAGGAGTCAGAGTCATCAGATTTTGCTGGCTTTAGCAAACATTCTTAAATATTCGAAATAACGCCATGAAGAAACTATAGATATATATTATATGCAATTATTATTTGCATATAAGATACATAAAAAATGTATTCATTTAAAATTATTCATAAACATTTTAAAAGCATTCTTTGTTCTTGACAACATTGTGGCATTTGAAACATAAATTTCTATTATTATACATATTAGTTGATTTAATAAATTGTTAACTTTTAAAAATAATTGTAAATGATTTAAGTCATTATATGATTGCATTAAAGCAGATGCAGATACTTAAAGCGTGTATATTAGTATAATTTATTTAAAGAAAAAAAATAGTATTGTTAAAGCTAAAAAATCCACGAGAGGTTTTTATCTCATTCAGATACATTTGTTTAAAAAACAGCTCAGACACCATAAATGGTGTAAAAAATGCAATGGAAATATAAAGAATTGTAGTTAGTAATAATAAATAATATTGAATATTATTGCATTATTAATTTAAAATACAAATATTGTATTTAATTCTTTTAATTTTTACATTAAATTTTATATTGGTATTCTTTATTTTGTTGCATACAACAATTTTATTTGCAAATTGTGCAACGTGTTTTATTTTTTGTTTATAATATTTTTGTTTAATAAAACTAATTTTTATTATCCAATGCATACATATGTTGCTTAATTTTCATCTAGCGTTAATATATTTTATGAGTTTTCAATAGATATAATGGCCTTGAAATAAATCATTTCTGGTATTATAATGAAGTTTTTGTGGACAATAGCTTTTAAATACTTCACAAGTAAACATCTAAATGTCAGACTTCGATTTATAATCGATAAAATATCGATTACGATATAATAATTATATTAATAAATTATTGTTTTTAGATACATATATACATAGGATTTCAAGTTTCGATTTTATTAGATTCCAGATACAAAAAATGAGTAACGGAAATAGGAGTTTATTTTAAGTCTATTATCTGTCATAATATTAAAGGAAGAATATCTGAAAAATCTTGTAGATTAAAGAATTTGAAGACAACTTGTCAAAGAAGAACTCATAGACTATATCATAAATTGCTATTTAATTTATTACATTATTTAAATGAGTTTAGAATTTAGATTATTCATTTCATCTTAAAATTATTGAAGTCAAATCGAGAGTTTGAGAATGAAATCTTATACTTATTATATATATCGTTACATATATTTACCTATATTCAAAATCTTAGGAAATTCTTTAAAAAAGTATTCAGAACCATATTATAAAAATAAAGTATATACAGATTTCAGATGTTTTCCCATATAGTTTGTAGCGAAGAAAACAAAAAGATCAATATATCTTTGAAATCTAATTCTAACATATTTAAAAAAAGTATATTCAATTGATATAGTATTATTCTATTTTCTATTCATATATGTGTATCGATAAGTCATAAGATAAAAGGTCACAACCAACATTTAAGGTAAGTTAACTCATTATTTGTTTACATTTATGTTAAACATTGTCTTGTGTAATAATAAGCCTTGAAGAAAATATACTCTCTTTTCTGTGCTGATCCGAAACAAATACTCATAGCATAGAGTTGCCGACATTAGGTATATTCGGAAGTAACTTTTTAAAAGAGCAAGGTGGCATCAAATCGAGTTTCATAATTTATAATGTTAATTTCAGATTAAAAAATATTTTAACTCGCAGGTCCACAATTCAGATGAATATGGTAGATCACCATTAGTAATGAAGCTAATTTGCTTAAGAATTTCCGTATTATGATGACTTTAGCCGTTAGTTAATATGTTATCGTGCTATAAAAATCAACTGCCTGACTCAATATTTACGTCGATCTAATAATATTTAATTATTCCTCATAATTGATGCATTTATAATCAAAATAATATATATATTCTATACCTTCATTAATTTTGTCTGTTAAACCACTCTTTCAGTCGAGCACAGGACCTCAACTATCCCTTTTTGTATTTAACTTTGCTTCACTATTTTGGGCTTTTCTTGGTTAGCTGACTTATAATCCAGGATTAATCGCTTTCCTTCATGTACTGACAGTTGTCTAACCGCGACCGAACAATATTTTGAGTTTGATTTGAACACGTATTGTACAATGTTAGCAGTAGATTAGTGAAAGATTTGTTCAACTTGACATAATTTACATCGATGTATATGTTAAGGTCCGATGTTTGAGTAGCTCAAAGTGGTATATTATGTATGCGAGTCTGATATGATTAATTCATGATTTGGCATAAACCATTATCTGAAAACACTTGTCAGCTGTGAATTGCTGGTAAGTTCCAAAGCCTCAGATCCATATAAAGGCACAGATTTGTACTATTGCTTTGAAAAACATATATATTTTTATAATTATAAATTGCAAAAGTTTAGCGTGTATATATACTGATATATGTGGGGTTGGCAATGCTTTCAAATAAGAAGCAGTAGAAAAAAAGCTGTAGAAAAGCGGCAGTAGAAAGAAAGACTTCGACGAAGCAAGTCGAACAAATTTTATTGTTATGTGTTAAATAATTTATATTTTATATTTAATAAATCCCACATATATTCTATATATGTAGTAAAATTGTTCATGATTCAAATTTAACCTGTATCTCTTTCGTCACTTAAAAATTTATATTCTCTTTAAAATTTCAAATTTATCGACCTTTATTCTACAAATTCAAGAGTTCAAAATCCTAATATTTGGTAACTCATAGAATAAGATACTAGCTTTTGATATAATTTCAAAACAATACTCATACTTCATTCTCTAAACAAGAACCAATTTTTTGATTTTGGATATATTTTTATATATATGATTTTTGCTTTTATTTTATACTTAATAATGTAAAGTTTCACTCAGGTTAACAATTTTTTTTGTATTAAACTTTACTCGTATATCTTTAAAGTTTTTTATAATAACCTCCAAATCTATGGACCAATATATCCTATTTCAAATTTTTATAATATTAAAAATACCATAAATTAAATTTAATATATTCCATTGTACTTAAATTTAATAAATATAATGTATTTGAAAGACATAATTTAATTAATAATTACGTATATTAATTTTATATTGCATAAAACGTTAAATATAAAAAGTATAATAAATTATAAACGATAATTAATGTTAATAATAATTTATATAAAAAATAATTATAAAATACTTTAATTTTTTTAAATGTAGAAAAAATTATTATTTTAAAAATAATAAACATAATAATAATAGTAATAAAATAATAAACAATTTATGTAATTAATTATATTATAAACTTAATATTTTAAATATAAAATTTTTATAATTATTATCCTAATTGGTGCTCTTAAATTTTAAAATTTTAGTATCTGTAACGAATCTTTTGAACAATAAATAACGAAGTAATGTTAGTTATTAAGAAAGGCAAATATTGAAGTTTTATATAAAATGAAAGGTCAGCAAAAAAAAAAATGTTTTCAAGTTAAATTAAAAAAAAAAACGTTTTATTTGCATATTTTAGAAAACTTAAAAATTATTTTTATTAATAGAATTTATATTAATTAATAAATCAGTATGGTATATACCTGAGTTATCCAACTTTATTACATATAGTATTGCATTGAATTACGCGATTCACAATCCTTACTTTAATCCTACTTTAGATGTTAATTTTAAAAATTTCTCTAATAATTACAAGAACAATTACAACAATAACGGTTATAATTGCAATAATAAATATAATAATAATATATTATTACTGCAGTCGGAGAAGAAAAACTTTTTCTTATAGTAGAGATTTAAATGGTGAATTCCTCCATATACATGTACATCCTCCATATATATGTACATGAAGCAACTGTTAAACTCTGATAAATGTTTGGTTAGTTTATTTTATAACATGATTATAAGAATTTGCTTTCACCTATTGACGTATTGCGAAAGTTAGCCTAAAAATCCACTTACGCCTATTGGTCCATTATGTTGGACCTAAAACATGGCTTAAGATGCTCTTTAGAGGATTTTAACAAATTTAGAGGATCATTAAGATCCTCTAAAGGATCTAAAGGAAAATTTAAGATGGTTTAGAAAGTGAATAGTTACCATATTCAATCATCGTTGTGCATATGTCGTATGCTGGATAGTGACAGAGTAAAATGTAGCAGCTTTTGATAAGGCATCTTGACAGAACATCTTAGTGAAATTTCTAGATTTTTTTTTATTTATAAATTGTCAACTTGCATTCATATGTATGTATATCCTTAAATCTTATTATACTGTAGTAAATTGCTCAATGAAAAATAAAATTCTGAGACTTCCTATCTAAATTGCTTATCTGCAAAAAATAACGGTCGTTATTATGGATTGTTCAAGATCATTTATTTTATAAATGTATGTATATATGATTGATTTGTTTGCAAATACCAAGATATTGAAAAAGTAAATTAATTTCTTAAATTTATATTTAAATTATACAAAATAATTTAAATTATTTAAGCTATACTATACTAAAAATTTGAGCAACAAAAACCTTCAGTTTAAAAACTAAAAAATATTCATTGGAATACAATTTTAATTTTCAAATCTTTAACTAATTCAGATTGTTAAAAACATTTAAATAAATTGAAATTATACGAAATCACTTTTGAAATTTGGATAACTCTAAAAAAAAACGACAATACTAAATAAAATAATCAAAGACACGCCTCCGATTTCTCGGGTACGCTCATTTGGCAATGAATTTTATTAAAGGCAACTATTGTGTATAATTTTTTTTTTACTACACTATAAGTCAATTTATAGTAGCTTAGATTTAGGCCCCTTAATTAGAAAACTTCAATGGACTTTTTAGATAATAGATAATTTCGATAATTAAATTCATTGATTCTTCTTCTTGAGTTAGTGCTATTTACGCACTTTTACTCTTAATGGCTGGGGGGCTTATCTCTACTCCACTATTATTTATTTATTTATATTATTTATTATATATATATGTTATAAATGTAGTGCCTTAACATATTATTGGCACCAACAAAGCAAATTGAAACTTTAGCCCAACTATTTTTTCATCCTGTTAATGATACGATTTTTTAATCAACAAAAAATTTATTTTTTTAGATTAAAATGCTTAATTTGCTTTTAAATTTTATTTTATTCATTTTATTTTCTCTTATATTTTAATATTTAAAATTAAAAACCAAAATAAACTGAATTTGCGTTGAACAAAATTATAGCACAGCCGATAATATATATAGTGGCCAAGCTCTTCTATTTAATAACAGCTACTACTTGCTTTAGAATCGAAGAAATCAATTTTTGAGTGGTTTTCGGTCCAACATCTTGCCACTCTGCAGCAGTGTCACCTTCAGTTCTGCCTTTGTTGTTATAATGGGCTTCTTTGAACGTGTTGATAATTTTTAACTAGTTTTATTCTGCAAATCACCATAGATCTTTGAAGAATATATCTTTTATATATATTTTAATAATTTCATAACCTTGTGTATACCGGAGATTATACTAATTTTCCAAGAGCTATATTATTAGTTTATTAGCCTGTTTACCTAGTTATATACCAAAACTTTATTTTTGATATTCATTTGCTATTTCCATAGAGGCCTTAAAATTTGATGTCTATAATTATATATGCAATCTTTTACTCTCTTCATTTTATTCTCTTCTCATTCTATAAAAACTTTGATTAAAATTTAGCTCGAGATATTTTACTTGGGTTTTTCACTTGATAGAGGAATTATTTAACAGCAGATTTTAGATTTTGTATCTTCTGATGATAAGTACTGATGGCTTCAGTTTCTCAACTAGTCGTTTAAATAATTAATGTGAAAATTGCAAATACCAGTTGGTGTCAGATATCGAGAATAGTTTTGTTAGTTTGATCTTTGTTGACAGCTACAACTTTAAACCTCGTTATTTCGAAAAGTAAACTATATATATAGGCATATACTGCACAAAAATTATATTGAAAAAAATTACTCAATACAGCTGACTACTAAAATTATTGTCAAATTATCATGCCCGGATATCGCAATTACGTGTAATATAATAATTTTAGTTAATTTATAAAAATAAAAATTGAATAAAATTTGCAATTAAATTAAAAGGATTATATTTTTAAAATATCTTTTTCACAGTTAAATAAAAATAATTGCTTATGACCTCTAATAACCTTTTTATAAAATTTTATAATCTATATAATCCTCATAAAATATGTGTCGAAAAAATCTAATGCAATAAACAAAATAATAATTAAAGTCAATTTCAAATAGATTATTTTTTAAAGTTAATAGAAAACATATTTTTGGTATTCTTAAAAAAAATCTTATGAACATTTTTATAATTAAACACTTAAAAATTATAAGAGACCATTTAATAAATCAATTATATATGTACGTCTTGCATTTATATAAAGTATATATGTACCATTTCAAAGTTGTTAACTGAAAAAACTGTATTTTTTTTACAATATAACACATAATATATTTCGATCGATATATCTTTGACAGCAATTATAAATATTTTTAAAGTAAACAAATACAGAAAATAATAAATTGTTTTAAAATAAAAATTTTTTCTCTTTAACCATTAACAAAACTGAATTCTTTGTGTGTTTATTAATTTAATAAACTTTGAGGTTAATCTTAGGTTTTTACTGAACTAATACCTGGGTCAGCTATATATTTGGTTCGATTGATTGGTTTTCGCATAATCCAGTGGTGACGGATAATCTCGAATAATATCGTCTTTTTATGAGGTAAGTATATTTTTAAATTTTTATTTTGTCTATAATATAATGGTGATGGTGTTTGGGAATTTCGGGTTAGGCTAATACTCCTAAGCACTGCGACCAGTTTGATCTATTGCGCACCCCTTTGTATTTTAATATTTAGTATCTCGAGAAATCGAACCAGCTCTTTCGTAGTGAGTTTTCGAAGATCTTCATCCTCTAGTTGGTATGCACCTCAAATTTTGTTTCTTCTGTGACCTAGTGCATCACAGTTGGTGATCAGATTTTCCATAGACTCTTCCTCATCACAGCAGAATCTGCAAATATTAGTATCGGATATACCTATTTTGTGTAGGTGTTTGTTACATGCGCTGTGGCCTGTTAGTGTACCGGAGAGTGACTTTAGACTCTTCTTGTTTAGGTTGAGAGCGGTGTTTGCTCTTTTAGCATCAAAATTTATTAATAAATTTAATATGTCTATAATATATATATATTACATAATAATAATATATTTATTTATAAGACGTGTGAACAAATGAGTAGGAAGAATTTTTAATTATTCGAAGTTTTAATTTAATGTTTAATATTTATTCCATTAACTTTAAGGTAGGACGTTTGACATCACACATTTGTACCACTTCAGTGTCCACTTTTAAAACACTGTTTGAACATCTCTTTGGAATTTCCGCTGCGATTACGCCTTTATCTAACTTTTGTTGTCCTTTGACCAAAAACGTTGTGCTTTGAGTGTCTTTCGAAGTTTAGAAAACAGATAAAGTCACAGAATTAGCAACATGATCAAAACATTCTTAAAAATCAGTTTGCATAAACCGATTGATATTTTTATTCTTTAATGATATTTTTTTGTTACAAAAATTTCCACATTTTCATTACTAATGGGCATGTTAGGACATGAAGATCACATATCGTCTTCAATATCTTATGGACTTCTCTGAAAATATTTCTGCTGTTCCTAAAATTCTTGTAATGACAATGTGCATCATAGTCATTCAGTCAGCAAACATACATAAGATGCAGTGCGCAGAATTTCAAAAGAGAAATAAGAAATAAGGACCGATCATGCCGCTAGCGTGTAAACCTGATTAAAAAGTCAATTGTTGATGGTTTTGAGTCAAACAGATTTATTTTTTCAAAGTAAATTTCCACAATTTGAAAATCATACTTATCAATATCGATAGTTCTCATGCAGCTAAAAAAACACCCAATAACATAGATATCTGTTTTTATAATTTTTTTCTCTTTTTTTATATTAGTACGAACTAAACGGACTGTAGTGAGATGCGTTAGTTACAGTTCGTTATAGTCTCCATCTGAATTTTGTACTGCTGCGGCCTACTGTTGAACAGGTTAATACCCATTGAAACACATGCATTATATGTACTGTTTAACATTTGGTTGGTTGATTTTAGTGGCAATCGAACTCCCGTTTTGTTACTATACTCTCGGTTATGAAGCCAATCTGTACGACTGTTAAATATGATTATTTTGAATATCTAACCATGAGATGTTCATCAGGTTAGTTTGTAGATTTCCAATTTGAAATATTTCAACTTGCCACTTTTTGTCAAGTTCAAATGAAATGTTTTAGTGCAACTACTGCTTTTTTTGTTGAAGAGACCTATTAATTTCCTGGCACGGGCGCCTGCTATTATAAACATGAGTTTTGTCACTTTGATCCTAGTTTTGCTAGTATTTCTTCTTTATATATTTAGTTTGACGTTGTTGTGTAGATTTTTTTCGCAGTCTATCGTTACTTTCCGATTTCGCAATTTAATGTGAATAAATTTAAAAATTCGTTTAAGTTAAAAATTTTAGATGGGACAAAGACAAAGTGCAAATACGCATAATTTGGATTCGAAGCCTTGTCCAAAGAGGCATAACCTCGAGGAAAAACCAGAAAAGATAAAGTTTTCAATGTTGCCAGACGATATTCTTTATACAATTTTTGATCACCTTACGTATAAAGATTTGTTAAATGTACGAGCCTCATCAAAGCGTCTCCTTGAGTGTAGCGCTGATTACATTAAGCACTGTTGCTTGAAAATGGAGAGAATTAAAAATAATAAGCTATTTGACGAGTCTAATGCGGTAAGTAAGAAATAGTAATGAAAATACTAATTCATTTATTAATTGGTTTGAATGTTTTCAAAAAAGGCTATCAAGCTTGCAACACAAATGTTCGTTAAATATGGGTTTGAGGATTCTTTTTATATACAGTACCACTCATATTTAAATAAATCGATAGCTGATGTTTCAGGTTTTCTCTACAATTTTTATAATTGTGTTTACTCCATAAATCACGGCAACCAACTCAAGATGAAGTCATTATTTACAATGAATGTGTTACTCATAATTATGGTAAGTGAAAGTAATTAAATTTCATTTATATTTAAATAAATTAATTATTATATTTTGATTTTTAGCAATTTAACAACATCATAATTCAAAAACCAATCTCTCTACGGCGTATCTGGCGGGTTAGCATTAAAAGAACAGGAGCATGGGTAGGATTATGGTCACTCTCACGTGATGACATTGACAAGTGTTGTGATTTTATAGCTTTAATTTTTGAAGCGCTTAAGTTTTATAATCCTCGTCTAGAAATCAGGTGAAAACAACCAACAAATACAAATAATTTATATAGATCTTTCTTATGCATATAAAGTTTACAAATTTTTAATACATAAATTAAAAAACTAATTCCAGAGAAGTTCACAATAACAACTGGATACATACCCCTATTGACGTCAAAGTAGAAACTATCATAACACTTAAAGTACATGGTGGTAGAGAGATACGTTCATTATTGGAATCCATAATATTTCAAAAAAATTTTGACCCTACAATTCAGAAGCTCACTGGATGTGAGTTTAAGGTATACTTGGATATCTCTTATCAAAGGATAAAGGGATCGCAGCAGAAGACATAATTTACTATGGACTGTGGTTAATTTGATGAAAATAAATTAAAGCATATTTACCGGCTTAACCATAAGTAGGTTGTTGACATGCTAACAAAGAGCATGAAAGAAAGAAACAACAATATAATAAAAACAACAAATGAAATCATCGACAAAAAGTGCTCTAAAATATGCAACAATTAAACAATTTTCATGTTAAACTTTTTATAATAAATATTGTTATTTGAATTTTTAGTAATGGAAATCTATTAATTTAAAGATTCGACAAAACCTTAATAAGAAAATATTTTCATATTTCTATATAAGTTGAAAGATTTAGTCCGACTATTATTTATAGAGCAAAAGTAATAAAAAGTGTATACGAATACTTTGGATATGTGACCGTGAAGACGATTATGTACACGGTGCTATATTTTATTACATAGATCACACCACAACATCTTAGTTGCATTATGAATGATCTTAACTTCGGTTTGGAAAACACTGCATATATAAATATGTATTGAATGTCCCTATTTAATAGTACCCAATCGAAATGAAGAATTTTTTGTTGTAATACGTCCCGAAGTTTTACGAGTTCTTAAACCGGAAAAATAAACTATAAAAGGAGATAACAAAAGCACTAGAATAGAAAAATCTTTATTGACAATATAATTCAAGTAAAGTATTGGCATTACAACATTATTTCAGTTCCTACGGATTCGCATAATGCCATCATTTATTACTTGTAAACTCTCTCAAACCGGTGCTTACTGCATCAAACCAGTGAAATCAGTATTTTTCATTCGAATCTTCGAAGCATCATTTACATGTCACTGATTGATGTTTTTGCTAAGCTTATCGATCGCTTACTATCATTGTTATCATTATTATTAAATGGAGACAAAAAGGACGTTTGTTACTCGCCCCATACATACTTCTCTACTCTGATGAGCCTGGGTAGTCTTTATGCGTAACGCATAAGTGGAAACTATTAGAGCACTGAGGACATAACAATGTTTTTAAATATCTCTTGACATTTTCTTTAGTTTCACATAGTATATTTTTCCTAACACTAGCTGATACGGACGCTGGACACCTCAATTCTTTAATTTATTTATATAGTTATTTATTTAGTTTTAGTTAGTTTACTTATTTGTTTATATTCAAATAAATAGAGTCAGATTATTGTATGTGGGTAAGATATGCCATCATTTTTTAGAGAGTGGTAGGGCTAAGTACATTTGCGGTGTTAATTTTCAGTGGAAAGCCACCACTTTGGTCCATGTATTGTCATTAAACAATATACTGAAGGCATGGATTTGCAACTATGATATGGTTACGAGGCTGTGACACTGACAAAACCCTAGAAGCTAGAGTTTTGAGTACAAAGGAAAATATTTGGGTGTCCAAGTTCGGTACTAAAAAGAATTATGGAAAATTACGTGTAAAGTCCTTATTCAGTTTTTAGCTCTTCACAGAATATAGTGGCGTATTATGCGCTTTTATAAGATAATAATTAAATAATTTCGCCTCACCTATCTGATTCAAATGCCGTTGCCTGTTTGTAACAGTTCATCGCCATTGATAGGGATTTTTTACCTTCAGAGCAATAAAGTACCCCGGCTAGTTTGAGAGTTTAAACACATGCCAGTAATACACTGATCTTCCTTTCCAGATTAACCGTCTATCAATATTATTACTTTTTATAAAACGGATGAGTGGATTGAAAGTTCTCATTATTTTTAAAATTTAGAATGTGTTTTTTATGAACTGGAGCACTTAGAGAGCTCATGCTTCATACAAGTCGCACATTAATTTCCTTTCCTACAAAATTTTCAATTAAAATACAATATAAATATAGCACTAACCTGTCTATTCAAAACAGAGTCAAGTATGGGTAATATATTCAAATGTAAAATCTCTTTAAAAATTATATTGGCATTAAGCAAAAACTTTGACCGTCTAAAAATAAAAGTATATAATATAACATAATTAACTGCGGGGTAATAACAATGTTAAATATTAACTATTTTGAAAAAAGTTGAAAATTGAAATTGAAATATAAATGTTCATATACGCGTATATAAATCTTTTATTTAAAAATACTAATTTTAACGATTCTATATAATTTTTGATACATTTATGACACTGATACAAAGTAATTTAGTTTGAAAATTTATACACATTAAAAGTTCAAAATTTAACCTGTAGTAAGCTATAAAAAGTACAATAAATTTAAACATATACTAAACTAAACACAATTAAAAAATTTAATTAAACAATATTTAAGTTAAAAACCTAATTAAAAATGATAGAGACATGAATTAAATGTTAAAGCTTATTTAAAACATATATACACAAGTAATTATATAATCGCTATAAAAACATTAAATTAATTTGCGCATATTATATTGTATAAACTGATTTAATTCAAACAGTGAACACTTTTCAACATTTAAAACAACAGCGTTTTCTACTTAAGCTTAATATTGCAGACCCTAATAGTTTTATATATATAGTTTGATGAACTGCTATTCATAGAGTAATAAACGATTTTCAATAATTTCAACATATGCAAGATAAGTTCCAACAAATCTCAAAAATTATTAATGATCCAAAATGCGCATGTTGCCTGATACAATTTTATTATCTAATATAGCACCAGCGGGTATATCGATACGATCACCGTGATTTGCTATAATAATGACTGTACCCTGTAAGAAAGAAAATATGTTATTGTTTATATCAATAGTAGAATATAGGTAGATTTTATATAGATACCCTTAATGAAACACCACGTCCAAAAGTTACATCTCCCGATACAGTTAAATGATCGAGTTCAATAATATCTGGTATATTTGCAAAACGTCCAAGGAACTCTTTTACTTTTGAGAAATGATTTTCTCCTAATTTGACAAGTGGTGTGGTGGGGAACATACGTTGTGGTGACATAACCAGGCTTCCATTTTTCAAATGATACAAATTCGACATAACCAATAATAAATCGGAAGTTTTCTTAACAGGCAAGAAGCGTGAACGTGGTACATTGATGCCAATTGAGCCATCAAAACATTTCATAGCTGCACCAACAGCGGTTTCCAACTGGATGACACGTAAGCCATTTTCCAATGTTTTATTATTGACAATAATTTCCATATTGAGTGTGCGTTCTCGTAATACACGATCAATGGCTGGAAATAGAGACAATTTTTTTAACGAAATATAGTACAGTTAGGTTAGGTTAGGTTAGGTTAGGTTATACCAGTGATCTAAGGGATCAACTTAGGCCTATTGGCCCATTTTGTTATCGTATATGGAGAAAACTGAGAGTTTAAAACAACCTAGAACCTTTGGCGAGGCTTAAAGTGTTGTTTAGTGGTAGGTCTTACAATTGTTAGGATCTTTAAGAAAGGAGGCGCCTGAAATATTGAATCGCCCCCGTGCAAGAGTTGGGCAATGACAGAGTAAAATGTACTATATAATTGTATAATTATTTGATTAATATAAGGTGTCTTTATTAGTAATGGTTTGTATTATTTAAATTATTAAAATTGAACTAATTCTTTGTATTTGATTAAAAAAAACTATGATATCAAAATTTAAAGAGGCATAATAATATTAAATCTTACTAAAATTGTTTTTGCAACTTCATAAATAAAGTTTTCATAATATAGCCCATGCTGTGTGTGTTTAATTTACAGTGAGATCAAACTTGAATAGTTTTACACTGTTTTTCAGGCAGAAGTGCATACCATTTGAATCTGTGCCATAGAAAGATTTTAAAGTGTGAATAGTCCTGAAGCATCTTAGCAAACATCCTTTAAGTTATGGCTGAACTGTTGGCAGCTATATGACTACAACTTCTCGAAAATTAGCTCAATAGGATCTAGTACTATAAGCTAACCCATTAAAGATATTTGAAATATGTTTTAAATATTTTATACTCTATATAAAATTTTAAAATCTTGGAACTTGAGCATTGAAAGTTTGTTCTGCCTTGGCTACTTGTGAAAAAACATGATTACTCATAGTTTCTAATTTGACAGGCACAACAAATTACATGGACTATAAACTAATGAAATAAAAATTCGAATATTTTCTAAGAACACTGATGATGAGTACTTGGCAATATTCGAAACAGCGGTGTAGTCCAAATTTCGATAAATTACTCAAAAATTTTTGTTGTTTGCTTTTTCATTACTATTTGAACCCTTCTGTTTAATAATTTTTTTTTGAAAAAGTGATTATAGATGAATACAATCTTACCATCTAGTTTAGCCCAAATATTGTTGGTGTTGAAAAATTTGAATGTCTTGACCGACTTGAAATCATCAACATGCTCCTTGGGTACTTGCGCTATTTCCAATAGACGTAATTTATCTTCAAATTGTATAAGAGTACCACCCTAAAATAGTATAGTATTTTATTGAATAAATATTAAGTATGTATTAAAATAAATATAATATATAGCTTACCTTAACGTCAGCACGCGTTTTATCTGTTACTTCCATAACAAATTCAGGTTTGTCCAAACGTTCCTCACCAACTAGTTTATTCAAGATATTCAAATCAACAGTTGCGCCCAAGTTATCAATATTCGATAGGAAACAATATTCACGACCTTCGTCCAAGAACTTCTGTAACAAACCGGAACTACGGAAGGTATCGTAAAAATCACCGTGACCAGGAGGATACCAACTTTAAAAGATATAAATATTTATTTTTTTTTTTTTTCATCTAGAAAACCATTTTATTTATTCTACATACGCGTCAATATCTTTATCTATGTCAAAATCTTTTGCAATTGGCAAAAATGATTCCCTGCTTATTCTTGGAAAACAGCTTTGATTGAAAGTATGTATTTGTACTCTAAATCCAGTATACTTTCTTATTATTTTTTCTGTATCTTCATCGGTGTTGAATGAGTTCATAAGAACTAAAGGAACGTTAGCATCGTAAGTTTTATTTAAATGCTAAAAGGTAGTAAAATTAAATAATTAATAATAATATTTTAATAAATATTTGAAAAAGATATTTACCTCAATCTGTTGCACTGTTAAATCCAGGAAAGTCAAATCAGATCGCACTGGTATGACACTTTTAGGTCCATGACAACCCATTGATGTACCCAAGCCACCATTGAGCTTTATAACAACTAATTTATCCAACATTTTTCGAATCTAGAAAGCAATGCAAACATTATAAATATATAAATTAAATTTTTAACTATTAAATATATATTGGGATTAGCAAAAATAAAAGAAACTATAAGAATTTAAAAGTTAGTTAATTAATAGATTTTAAAAATACTACATGTTATTATTATATATAGCGCAAAAATCCCACTGAGTTTAGTGAAAAATAGTTATAGAATTACTTTTTAATATAGGCGTTACATTACAAAAATGTTTGAATAAATAAGGAAGGATGAAATAACTTTAATACCGTTTTATAAGTATATATTACTTGAAAGCTAAAATTTATAATTGTTAGTTCTTCTTAATGTTGTTGTTAAAAACAAGAACATCAATAGGAGTATTTCGACCGAATTCGATAGTTTCCAAATTTCCGAATTACCAAATATCGAATACTCTAATTTTTGTTCTCATGGAACCTAATACTTTCGAATAACAACACGGATTTTTTTCGAAAGGTGTCATCTATATAATAGACCAAAAAAAACTTTTCCATCAATGATTTCTAAAAGTAAAAAATAGCAATTATTTCTTCAAGACCTTCATCATTATTAAATAAAATAATATTCATTATTATTAAATAAATTAAGTAAATATGCTGCAAATGCCTGTAAGTATTAATTTTATGGAAGAATACGTATTGTTTTTACTTTAATTTAATCATTTAAGAGCTTAAAGAATAGCAAAAAGTAAGAATATGTATTCTGTATTTTAAAGCTTTTTAATTTAATAATTAACTGTTCTTAAATAAGATCTTTGATCCATTTTTAATATCCGATCTAATTGCTTTAATTGAAAGCTTTTATTTTTAGAGCACAAAGCCAGGCGCTGAGAAGACTTTTCAAGGACCCATGGCACATTCGGACGTATGACATCCTCAGGGACCTTAAGATTTTGACCCAATCAAAAAATACATAAAAGATAAAGCCCTGAAATTATTTACAGGCTTACCAACACCGCGTTATCGGATCTCAAAATGGTTCTAGGTTCCTCGGGGAGGTATGTAAATCTAAAGTCAATTACTGCTTAGTCTGATGAAGTGATAAGCAATAATCCAGTTAAGGCGTAGAAAGAGTAAAAGTGGTCAAGTGCACTGACTCAACTAGCCACAACATAATATTTCTTATTTCTTAATAAAAAATTAAAAATTAAAGACTAAAATATTTATTTTATTTAATCTAAAAAGTGAATTCAGAATAATCTATATTTTTTTTTTAACTTTTACCGGACAACACCAATACTGTCATTAGATGAAAAATTCAATTTTTCACTTAATCAATTAAAAATAATGAAAACAAATCCATGTATCACCATGTACCACTTCGGATCATTATGTTGAGATAGAAGAAAAGATTTATATATATATATATACATATATATAAATATATATATATATAATATATTATATATATAGTATATATATATATATGACATATATATTTATATGAAAAACATGTCTAAGAATTGAATATATATATATATATCATAACTAAATTATATCAAAAAATATTGACTACATATTTTTGTTAGATGAGCGTACAAGATCAGTTCTATAAAATTTGTTTTATAAAGAAGATTCCTAAGGGTTAATAATAAGTTAATAATTTTTAAGCATTATAGTACTTATACGCTACCTATAAAAATATAATTAATTTTTAAATTAAAATAAAATTGACTAAAATAATTCGAAAATAAAAAAAAAATAATAATAAAAACCAAATACTACAATATTAAAATTAATTTTAAAATTCAGCTTCAATAATATACATATATATACATATAATAAACTATAGCAGCATAGAAAAGGCATAGATAAAAAGTATAGAATGAAACTTTTATTAGAAAATTTTTTACACATTTAGAAGCAAATCAGCATCTTGCCTTAAGCTTTGGCTTTTCAACAAATTTATTTTTTAAGTTAATTCATATTTTACCTCATCCTATATGCATAAACCATCAGTCCAATTATTTTTAAGAAACATAATGCAAATTCATATGTATATGCAAAATAAAAAATGTATAATTAAAATCATACAATATATGACAATTATAAAGGGTATAATCATTCACTATTTTTAAACTATAAAATATCATTCAAAATTATAAAAATTTATATATATACCAATATATTTCAACGACAGTACTATAGAATATTGAACTGACCTGTTCATTTTTGGGTGCTTTTAATGTTGTATAATCCATAACAGCATTTGCAGGTAATTTTTGTATTTTATCCCAATCAATGGACGGACCCTCTATTATATGGAAATTATAATTTTAAAAATTTTTAATATTATTTTAGTTTCTAATTTTTCAAGAAATTATATGTTACCCTCTTGTAGAAAACGTCCAAACAAATCGGCAAACCGTCCCATTTCCTGCTGTAGTGGTGACCTTTTACTAGTCTCAGATGTCTGAAGTAACCGATCCAATTCATTTTCAAGCAAACGGAGTGCATCACGTTTGGTTACCTCATGAAATTCTTTAGAATCGGAGGGCACTCTTTGATGACCACGTACCTAAAAAGAAAAAAAAATATTTAATATATAATTTATTTGTATGTTTGTATTAATTTTAAATACATATACGACATATATATTTATATGAAAAACATATCTAAGAATTGAATACAACGAGTTAAGGTATATGTTTAAAGACAATTTCAAAAGTTCAAAAGTTCAAAGTTAAAAAAGTTGTAGTAACTTAATGGCTTATCAAAGAGAACAGTTGTACTAAACGACCTGTTAGATCTATTTAATTCGTTTATTGTCATATACCCAAGCATGTGTTTAACTACAACTGTCTAATTTTCGTAAGACACATACAAATTTAAAAACAATTAATTTTTGTGAATTAATGTGATTCCATTATTCCTTTCTCGATTTCTCTCTTTTCCCCACTATCATATTCCCTACTTTACAATCCACTCCTTTCATCTTTATTCATCACCATTTTAATTTCTGTCAGATCAGCTGGATCACAAGACAGATATCTCCTTTTAGACTATCTCTTTGACTTCACCAGTTACAGATTAAGGCTCTCGATAAACATTACATTATCTATGGATTTATGTTTCCAGGTCTTTGCTAGTTTAGTGGTAACCTAACAAAAGATACTGGATGGAAATTTTAACAATCGCTGAATATAAGCTAAAAATGCGTTAAAGCAACGATGTTGTTTTATAAAATTTTATAAATACATACTTTTCTAAGTACTGATGCAATGGATATCTCTCAAGCCACATGAAGGGAGTTATGGTATGGTATGGTATGGTAGTTTCATTGCAATCGCATAATTCAAAAGAGTTTTACTTTATTCATATCAGCTAACTAAAGTATAGAAATTTTTTGGGTTTAATTGAATTAAGAAGTCTAAGATTGAAGAAATTTAATAGTTGCTTAAATATCTGAATATAAAATAATGCTGGAGCTTGTATTTCAACTTCTAACGACTTTTAATCTAGCTTCATTGACTTGATAAAATTGTCACAAAAAAAATATTTCGATTAAAAGGGTGAATTCGATCTGGGTTTTTATGAAATCAGTATCACTTTTTTTCAAGTTGTGACGTAAGTGGTACTACATAATGATGCCTTCATAGTTAGATAATATGACAAGTGAAAGATATGATTGTACCCAACAACCATACCTAAAGCAAGTTTTTCTTTAAGAGAGTATAGTTGGAATTTGTTTTATATACATACAAAAATATATAAATATATATATATATTGTAGTTTGCTGGGAGTTGTAGAGTAGTTTTCATAAAATGTAATTATGATTTTATTTAGAAATGTTTAATAAAAAAGTATCTCAATGGGAATGTGAATTGTAAGACAGTTTTATATAGTTTATGATGATCTGTAGAATGTTATGTGGAAAAGTGCCTACTTAACAATTATGATATAGATTTAGTTGTATTTATTATTATTTCGAGATAAAATAAAAAATACATAAATTTTAAAAAACTTAATATGTGGAGCCATATATTCTCAATACTTAACTAGTCTTGAATCTACACTAGAGTAGGAGAACTTTTAATTAACTTAATTATTCAGTTCTCTGCAATATCCAAATGGTTTTAAAATTATATGAGAAAGAACGTACTAAGTAGTAAACCAAAAACAATCAGCATTTATGTAAAGGTGCGCTTTTAAAAAAATAAAAGCTGGTGTTGTTTTTATAATGGAAATATATTCCAAAGCTAATGGTTTCAAAATTACAAAATTATTCCCCAAATCCACTTAAATTCCATTGTCACAAAGTCTTTATTTTAGTTAATCACTAAGCTTTATTTTGTTCCGGTCGAGGTATTGTTGCGATTATTTTAGGTAAAAAGACAATTTAAAACCGTGCGTGTCACTTGGAAGCGTTGAATGAAAATTTTTCAATTTTAAAGCAAATCCAAGAAAGAAAAAATAATGAAACTGTCTACCAACACATAATGAAAAGGAGAAGATACTCACTCAAGTGACAACATTTTTTATGGAACATATTTACTTCGACTGTATTGTTAAGATTTCGTAAAGTAAAAATTTCACCTGAACAGCAAAAATGTTTAAAAAAATTTTAGTTTGAATCAGTTTGCTGGAAGACGTTAAATGTTATATAGGAAAATTAGTTTTCATACAAAATGAAACAAAATTTTAAATTAAAATATATTTATATCATTCTGATTCTATATATGTGCTTAGCTTCTTTTGAAGCTAAGAATGTGAAGAAAAGAGGAGTGATGGATAATCTAAACGAAGGTATTAAGTATGCTGGACAAATGTTTGGTGAGTAAGTGACCTCTGCAGAAGATGCAGATAACTAAAACGAATAGTTAGTGCTTAGTTTTATATAATTATTTATATATAATAAAATATTTATAATTTTATGACCAAACGATTTTTAATATAGTATTTTTTTGGTCAGTTTTTCGTAATTGTTAAAAATAAAAATTAAAAAAAAAAGCAATGAGTTATTTTAAAATAATTTTTATTTAATCGATATTTAAAGTCATCAACGGGAAACTCATCGTTGACTAATGAAAACATTATATAAAATAAATTAAAAGTTAAATAAAAATAATATGTGATAATATAGAAATAAATTAAATTATTAAGAAAGGTGTCTAAAAACATAAACAATTTATGAATGAACAATTTTTAAAATTAAATTTTATTTTACTTTTCTGTCATTGTGCGTTTAATATTTAATAAGAGAATAAAAACACGAATATATCCTATTTTATTAACAACGGTATCACGTTGTTCTTATAATAACCTGTGATACGATCGCTCCAGTTATACTTTCCTCTTAAAACAAAAAGCTCATTCAAACTTCAATAAGAGTTAAATATTGACATTTACAATAACGAGTAAAGGATTTAAAGGAGGGAAGCTTACCACATGTAAGAGAGGAGAGCTTGATATATAATATTCCAATCATAAGAAGGATTATAAAAAAACTGAATCAGTTAAATGTTTTTATAAAGTTATTATTGACAGCATCTATAACGAAGTTAGCTAAACAGAATCTTAAGTACTATCACTCTTATAATATATATATATATTCTGTGTACAGTGTTATCGAAAATACAAAAACCTAGACGGGTTTTTTAGCGATTCTTCCTAGACGGGGAAGGTTGCTAAAGAACGTACACTAAAAAGATATTCTAATATGCCTTATTGTTTATTAAATTGTGTTTATTTAGTTTATTTCAAATTAGAGAAACTCTTTATGATTCCATGAAACTCCATACTAAATATATCACAATAAAACATATAACAAAATCCATATCTTTTACCATAGGTATCAATACAGCTGCTGATGTTGCTAATTTAGTAGCAAAAGCTTTTTCCACAACTACCAACAGAAAAAAGCCTGATTTAATGTCATTATTTCAACCATCTCAACAACAAGATACATCAGCCGAAGAAGATAATCAGCAATCAGAACAAAATGAACCACCACCTTCTAAAGTAGATATTGGCTTCGATACGGCAAATCTACTAACGGGGGTGCTACGAATGATTGGATTTGATGCTAGCAAATTGGGCGCAATAGCTATCAATACCCTTATACTAGTAGCTCAAGCAGTAAGTATTCTACTTGCAGTAGAACAAGTTATTAAAATTGATTAAAAAATTTAAATATATCATATATAAAACATAAAAAATAGATTGGCAGCACAATCTTATCAGCAACAAGACCACCTCAACGTTTAGCAACGGTTAAACAACACGGTGAAGACTTGAACTCACAAACGGGAATGGGGCCTGACGCTATTTATGAGCAAAATGAACATCAACCTAGAAAGTTACGAGATGGTTCACCTGTTGATTGGTTTTTAGAAAATCCCAACGAGAAAATGAAACAATTGCTTACGGAAATTACCGATAAAAATTTATCAGATAAAGTAATCACAATGATTGAAGAGAAAGAAACAGAACCAGGACAAGCTGGTTGCATAAAAATGTTGATGTGTAAAACTTCACCGATTATCTGGGGTATGCAGAAATCAGTCAATGAGCGTTTGAATAAAAACTCCACCAATGAGGTAAATACAAAAGACAGAGATGCACAACAGGATTTCAATGCTAAAGCATTGTTTAAGGATTTACCTAGTTTATCAGAGTTTCGAGCTCATAGCGATATATGCGAAAAGCGTTATGGCAGCTACTGTAATACGTCTGACTATGATTCAGTAAAAAAAAATTAAAACTAATTAAAAAGAAAAAATATTATTATGCTTATTAGAAAAAATAATATGGCGCAAAATGTTTCCTTCCTTTGCGTGTATTTTGAAATTAATTTTAAGGTCAATATTTTGTTGGAACTTGGTTTAAGAGCTTCAAATAAAAATTTTAAAAGTTATTACTAAATGTTTAAATATTAAACTTTATTATGAAATCTTAAAAGTAGACACAATGAATTTGCAAACAAATAGTGTATTTTGTATTCGCACGCGCCATGAGATGGCAAATTTTATTCATGACTTTTCATTTGCAGCGAAGAAAGTCTAAACTTCAGTAATGTTACGGTACAATAATCTATCAAGTACTTGTGAAATATATTTGCGTGAGATCTATAAGAGAGAAGAGAGGAATAATGTCGATTTCAAAACTAAAAAAGAAACAAAACAACAAAAAATAATTATAATTATTGACATCGGTGAACAAACACAAAGTTATATCAATATTAATCATTATATGTATATTATGAATGTATTATCATTATATGTATATTACTAAAGCAGTTATTATAAACCAATGCTTATACGAAAAATGTTTAGTCAAAACACACAATATATAAACACAATATATAATCATATATTGCCTCTCACTTTCTTGCTAACCTTAAGGGATTTAAGGGCTTGCCATTTTAAGGTTTTGATATGGTACCACTCTTTCAGTGATGTGTGTCAAAGAGAACTTTCATCCAAGATATCATGTGTGCAATTAAAGGTTTGTCACACAATCGATCATGTATAGCACAAACTTTAATTGGATACTTAAACAACCAAGAATTTTCAGTT